ATTGTTTAGGATGTTTCGGAACCGCTTCAGAACAGCTTAAATTATGGGAAAGTCTGGAAATGGATGCCATTTAGCATTTTCTTTTTTCTCAAAAGGAAACTAGGAGTTCTTGGTATGAACAGAAAGTTCAACTCAGGGAGCAGCAGCTTCTCAAGACTGGACAAGTGCATTTGTGTTATATGTGACTTTTGAAAGCAATCCTTTCTCTGATCAAGAAATTAAAAAAGAAAAAAGGAACACTATGTTGTGTTTATCTAATACTTAAACTCAAGCTGTCAAAGAGAAAGATGCAATCGTAGATACATGCCCTAAATTCCAAATTTAGATATTTAAATTTACAGTAGAATTTTTGTGTATCAAATGATTAATGATGTTCATAGAATGAATTTTAATTGCCATACTTGTGAATAATTAATTAGTATAGCTTTCTCAAATATAGGCTTTATATAAATCTTAAATTTTCAAATTTGTGTGTCTGAGAAAGACATTCATATGTCTTATATTTCATCTTTAATTTGTCATAGAACATCTCAAATACATACAGAAACAGAATACTGTAATGAGCTCTCATGTGTCTATCACTTGTCTTCAACAATGATCACTTTACGGACAATGATGTTTTGTCTATAATCTCACTTTACTAATATGTGAGGTTTTGTTTGTTTGTTGGAGTTTTGCCATAGGGCATGTGCACTAATCAGAGAGACACTGAGAGAGGCAGAGAGAGGGAGAGTAAGAAATCATTCCCCAGGGGATAGCCACACTGCAGTCCCTTCTCCTCCATTCTCCTCTCAATAAATAATATTTTTAAAGTGCATTATGCTGACAAATTTTATTTTTGAAATTATAGTGCATTGTTTTAAAGGGATTTTGCAGTATGATATGGGAGAATTTTTAATATATTGCCAAGTTAACACATAGAATTGTTCTATCAGCCTTTGCGGAGAACTGTTTCACAAAGCATATAATGCCAGGTTCGTCAGTTTTAACATTGGCAGAGAATGGTGTTAGTAAATAATAAAAATGCTTATATGAATTCTGTTTTTTGACTTACTTCTCCAATAGCGACTCACTATGTCACAAGCCTCCTGCCTCAGTGTCATCAGTGCTTGGGACTGTGGGTATATGTTACCACACCCAACTATTAAGGTAGGGATTTGATCTCTGTAAGGAAGGTCTGAGAATATGAGTTGCAAATATGAACTGATGGGTGCATAGGAGATAATTAGTTAAATGATGCATGGGATGGAGAGGGGGGTAAGTTAATTAAAGGTTCATGTAATAAATATTATCTTAAGTTGCTACTTTGAAATCACACTTACACTATTAATTTACTTAGTAAACTGTTTATTCACATACAGAATATATTCTTCTTCTCCATTATAGTTACAAGTTCTAAATTTGTTAATCCCAATGAATGAAATATCAGCATGACTATATGGGCAAAATAGAATTATGACTTTACCTCAGGCTTATTTTATCCTTTGTATAGTAGTTAACTTTAGTGCCCAAGCTTGCTTACCGCTTTTTCTGAACATGCTTTATTTAAATCTGAACCATCTTACAATAAGATCAAGTTAGAAAAAAATTCTGGGTAACAATGTAGTTGGAGTTAAGACAGGAGAAAGCACTAGGTTAATGCTCTGAATCCTACCTGAAGAATTTGATGTTTCTCTTCACATGTAAGACGTACTTGGGAATGAGAAAAATTCCCAAAGGTAAGTTGCCATTCCAGTATCTGATTAGAAAATTTAAAAATACCCTCATATTCAACAATGATGCACCTGTTTCATCCATCATTTTAACATTCTGTATAGTATGGACATTTTAAAATTCACTGTTAGGTGGCAAAGGATTGTGCTGGTTTGGACAGTGTCCCTTGACCCCAGATTTGTTCCTTCCTAGATCCTCTGAATGCACTCTTATTTGAAAATGCTGTCATTGCAGATGTAAGTAGTTAAGATGGGGTACACTGGAGCAGAGCAGCCCCCCACCCACTGTTTTTTCGTGTGTGTAGGGGGGCTAGTGAGACTCACCACCAGGGGGATGACAGTCCATTCTTCTCTTTACAGTTTGGGCACACACACACACACATGCCTGTTTTTCAAACCATTGAGTCTGGGGCTCAAACCCTCAGTCAGCCATGCAGGGTCTGACATCTTAACCACGTTGCCTGCTGGCCCCAGGGCAGGCCTTTGATCCAATATGACGGCTGTCCTTATAAGAAGAGAGACACAAGGGGAAACCCGACTTGAAGGTGCGGAAGAGATTGGAAGGCTGTATCTACAAACCTAGGGAGCCTAAGGATTGCTGGCAGTTGCCAAAAGCTAGGAGGGAAAATATGGAACAGTTTCTCCTTTGAACTCCCAGTAGAAACAAGCCCTTCATAACACTTAGCTTTTGGACTTGTAGCTTCCAACTGGAGAGTACATTTCTGCTGTTGTAAACTATCCATTGGTACCTTGTTATAGCAACCCTAGGAAACTGCTACTCTGACCGCAAAATCTTGAATAATATGCATGAGCAAAACTCTTCTTCAGTGAACACAAAATTGATTTAAAAATGTTTTAGTGTAAAATATATATTAAATATTTTCTGTAATGAGGGTGTTTATTATCATTCTTCTTGCCTGCTTCTTAATCTTTGTTGTAGGGTACATAATTAAGTAAGTTAATGAGTTTTGAATCATTAACTCTGAGGAATAGTTTTGGGAAAATTAAATAGTAGACATAGAAAATAAACACTAATTATTGCAATGAATGAGCATTATTTTTCTAATAAAATATTTTGAATCTTTGAATTGACTTCCTTCTTTACTAAGTATCTTAAGATAAAGTCAAAGTCATTACATAGTTCTTTCTTAACAGTTTTTAGTACATCACTTAAAAGTAATTTAATAACTATACACAATTTTGAATCGACATTTCCTATTTTGTTTTATTCATTTTGTTTTTAAAATTGTGTACTAGTTACTATGTTCTCTATAGTTTCTAGGATGTTTCTGTGAAAGATAATTGTTTATCTCTTCTATTTGTTTTTAATTTATTTATAGTGAATATTTATTGTGCTATGACCAATAGTTTATAAGAGAATACACTATGCCTAATATCTCTTTTTCTCTCATTTTTGCAGAGTATTAATATCTTCAGAACTTTTAAAATTCTTGTTTTGGTTTTTGTTTTTAATGAAGATTCACAGACATGGCCATGGGTGGACAAGTGGGCGGGTGCTGCCACGTGGTGGCAGAGCCCACACAGCAGGCCCAGGAGGGTCCTGTCCCAGCCGAACAGGCAGCGTGGTGGTGTATAACTAACTGAAAAGCTAGGGCAGGAGGGTAGCACATGGTGAGACCCTGTCAAGACAGGCCTCTCCCTCCTACTGAGGTCTTTCTCTTGCATTGGAAAAAACAAACAAAAATAAGTAGCACCAGAGACATGGTAATTCTGTATGCAAACTTTTAAAAAGGAATTTTACTTTCATCTGAAATCATCCATCCAAAGAGTATGGAACTGTTTCTATGAATCTAGTGATTAAAAAACATCAGGGAGACAATATATATGTATATATGCATTTAATAATCATATATTAAAGGCTAACCCTTTAGAAATTTAGAAAGACTTTCACATCTCTCATACTTCTGTTCCTTCTCTGTTCGCATTGATATGTGAATTTCTTTCTTTTTTTTTTTTCTTTTTTTCTTTTGGAGAGGTTTTTGCAATAGGGCGGGTGCGCTCGCCAGACAGACAGACAGAGAGAGAGAGAGAGACAGAAAGCGAGAAATCACCCCCCAGGGAGGATGGCCACGCTGCAATCCCTTCTCCTCCATTCTCCTCTCTGAATCTTGGGCACGCACGCACACGCGCCCGGCATGAGTTTTAAGCCACCGTGTCTGGGACACGAACCGTGGTCGACTACGTGGGAGTCCAGCGACATAGCCATTACGCTAACTGCTGGTCCCGATATGTGAATTTCTTATGCCAATTGATCTCATGTTAATTTATGTTTCAATTTGACCATGAATATAGAAATACTGGGCAATCTGGCATGTACTATGGCAAACTAAGCCCTAAGTAGTAGAATCTTTGTAGTAAATATTGACTAAGAATTACTTTGGTTAAAAATTTTGGAACTAGCAGTTGGTGTAATGGCTATGTCACTAGACTCCCATATAGTCAACCGTGGTTCAAGTCCTGGACCCGGTGGCTTAAACTCACGCTGGGTGCATGTGCATGTGTGCCCAGGAACCCAAGAAGAGAATGGAGAAGAGATTGCGGTGTGACCATTCCCCTTGGGGGGGTGATTTCTCGCTTTCTGTCTCTCTGTCTCTCTCTTTCTGACGAGTGCATGCGCCCTGTAGCAAAAACTTCTCAAAAAATTATAATATTTTATTGTACCTATGTTTCTATATTGCTGCAGTATTCTAATAAATGTTTTTCCTGCAAGCAACATTCTGTAGTAGAAAGGGATATGCATTAAAATGTAAAGGGAATTTTGTGAGGTGATAAAATAAGTTGAATGACAGAAATTCTGATCAGAGATAGATTTTTCTCAGCACCACAATGCCATATGTTTGATGTTGAATGAAGTGTGGTTTGTAAATATCAGCGCCATATTCTAAAGAGGCTGGGTTTTATAACAAGCAAATCTATTTTTGTATTATTTTCTCAAATTTCATCTGTTTATAGCTGCTATTTCCAGCTAATGTTTGCTAACACACAGGGAGTCTGCAGAAATGCAAAGAGAAAGTTTAAATATAAATTATTCTTTAAAAAGTCCATTTACAACATACATTTAAAAAACATTAAAAAATTAGTAGAATTAATTATGTAAGGTACAATGGTCATTGTTTACAACACATGTCATGACTCTTTACACTTTTTGGCCACTTCGCTTTCTTCTCTTATAATCCACCCAAATTATTAGGCAATAAAGTAAAGAAATAAAATGTAAT